TTTTCATCGAACATTATTTTGTTCGTTTCGTAACTATTGATAGCGAGACAAGTTGTGTCTTTGGCATGTTCTCCGAGAAAACAGTTGTGAGCACATTGATCTCGGAGCCCAAACGTGCTAAATTCTAAAGCTAATTAGTTGCGGCAGCAACCATTGCTGCAGTAATTTTCGCGAATCCAGTTGCCTGGGTACTCCCCTCGATCGTGTGGATCGACGGGACGCGAAGCAGATGGACTCTAGAGGAGGTAATCAGCCCGGATGATCATCCGGAAACCTTGCGTCGAAGACGGCGCGAAGCTTCGTCAGTTGGTCGCCAACAGCGAAGAGATAGACGATAACTCGTGCTACCTCTACTTACTGTTGTGCCAAGATTTCGCCGACACGTGTGTCGTCGCGGAACTTGATGGATCCATCGTTGGTTTTGTTACGGGATATACCCCGCCGACGCGACCAACATCCTTATTCGTTTGGCAGGTCGTTGTCGCGCCGGAAGCGAGACGCCAGGGTTTAGCCAAGCGGATGTTAGAAGCACTGATTGCTCAATTCCCCGCAGACAAGCTTGAGTGGGTCGAGGCGACCATTACGCCTGACAACCAGCCATCTCGCGGACTCTTTGCTGCCCTGGCACGTTCCTTGCACACAGAAATAGCATTCACACCCTATTTCCTCGCGGAACACTTCGGAAACTTTGCGCACGATCCGGAAGAGCTATGCCGGGTCGGCCCCATTAGCCCCAACCGATAATCGAATTGGCCTAAACCAATAAGAGAGATCATGAATATTATTGACCGAATGGAATCAAACGTACGTGGTTATTGCCGATCGTTCCCTACGACGTTCAAGACGTCGAAGGACCACTTGATGATCGACGAACGAGGCAAAGCGTACATCGACTTTTTCGCTGGTGCTGGCTCGCTGAACTACGGCCACAACAACGAAACCCTCAAGAACGCGCTGATCGAGTACATCTCGAACGATGGCATCACCCACGCGCTCGACATGACCACCGTCGCTAAGAAGAAGTTGCTGCAGTCGATGCAGGACGTCCTCTTCGCTCCTCGCGGTATGGAATACAAAGTGATGTTCCCAGGACCAACGGGAACCAACGCGGTCGAAAGCGCGTTGAAGCTTGCCCGTAAAGTCACCGGCCGTCAGAACGTTATCTCGTTCACCAACGGTTTCCACGGTATGACGCTCGGTTCGCTGGCGATCACCGGGAACAGTGGCAAACGAGC